ATTTTTTCTAATTATAAAAATAATTTGTATTGAATAATTTTTATCTTTAAAATATTTAAAAATCAAAATTTATACTTAATGTAATATTTACACTAAGCAACATAATATTCACTGTTACATTTAGCAGGCCCATCAAAGTCGAAGATTTTGCCGAGCATTATCGCACTATGTCAGCGGATTCTGATTTCCGGTTTTCGGAAGAGTTTGAAGAATTAAAGCATGTCGGAAGAGATCAACCATGCACTGCGGCGGATTTGCCTTGTAATAGACCGAAGAATCGCTTCACAAATATTCTTCCATACGATCATAGTAGATTTAAACTTCAACCTGTTGATGATGAGGAGGGCTCCGATTACATTAATGCCAATTATGTTCCGGTACGTAAAACTGATCTCATTTAAAATTATTTAAACAGTTGAAACAATTTAATAATAATTAATAATTAATTTTGATAATAAAACCGGTTTCTATGATACTTTTTTTGATGCAATAGGGTCATAATTCACCACGAGAGTTTATCGTGACTCAAGGACCATTACATTCGACTCGTGATGATTTTTGGCGAATGGTTTGGGAAAGTAACAGTAGGGCGATCGTCATGTTAACGAGATGTATCGAGAAAGGCAGAGAAAAATGCGATCATTATTGGCCGATGGATACTTTACCGGTTTATTATGGAGACATCTGTGTCACGATACTCAATGAGACACATTATCCAGATTGGAGTATCACAGAATTTATGTTGTGTAGAGTGAGTGATTGTTTTTCTAATAACTCTTTTCAAGCGTATATAATTTATCAGAGCATCTCTTAGTGATTGAGTTTTCAAAATCTCCTGATTGAGATAAAAAATAATATGTCGTAGGGTGATGTGAAGAGAGTGATACAACATTTTCATTTTACTACTTGGCCGGATTTCGGCGTTCCCAGTCCACCGCAAACTTTAGCGAGGTTCGTGCGAGCGTTTAGAGAACGAGTCAGGCCCGATCAGAGGCCTATAGTCGTTCATTGCAGCGCTGGCGTAGGTCGTAGTGGTACTTTCATCACTTTAGACAGAATACTGCAACAAATTCTCGTATCGAAATACGTCGATATCTTCGGAATCGTTTGGGTGATGAGAAAAGAACGGGTCTGGATGGTACAGACGGAGCAGCAATATATCTGTATCCATCAATGTCTTTTAGCCGTTCTGGAAGGACAAGACACTACTGGACCACCACGAGAGATTCATGACAATCAGGGATTCGAAGGTATGTCTTGAAATTCTATTATTTTCACGAGATTAATTGCGGGACAAGTTGGGTAATCAATGACGAGGTACAACTTAGAGAATGCATCACGATGGGTAATCAAAACATAATCAATTGTTAAAAAATTGAAGAGATTCGATCAGTAGTGCATGTATTGGAAGGGATTCTAAATGGAATATTTGTAATTCTTCCTTTGCACGAAAATAGGTTAAACATTATACCGCGAATATTATTATTGATAAAAAAGTATTAATGAAAATATAGCAGAATATTTTACAAAATGAGAAGAAATATGATATCAAAAGAAAGTTAATTGATTATTTATGGTATAGGTGGTGGTGATGGCTATAAGCACATGTTATTTTACCCTGTGATTGTAAACAATGGTGTAAAACCCTTTTTGTAAAACGTTATCACTTCCTCCGCCTAGTAACTCACACCCTCCCTTTCTGCAATCTTTTGCGACCTTTGTATTCAGGCAAGAATCGAAGTTCGGTCGAAAGCACTAAGAGTCCTGCCGAGGATGAGAAGGAGAGGTGACCTTCGAACAGCGATTCCTGCATCGAGGGTAATTTCGATCGTTGCTTTTCTTCTTCCCTGCATGAATCTATACTATGCAGATACTATTATAAATGTCAAATTTGTATACTAATTGTGTACGTTGCATGTGAGAACAAAATAACAATATGTTTTACTAAACACTAATAATATTCTGTTAGCGATGAGAACATCTATATTTATATCATTTAATTACTACAATTTTTCGTACAAATTTCAATGGAATAATTGCAATGACTAAAATAATCGATAAATTATAAATAAATTGATTTATAACAGATTTGACTTAATTTCGCCTTATCAACACTCGATACTAATATTTTATATTGCTCAACATACTGAATTTATTTCTTGTAATTTTTCACAATATTTTTCTATTTTATTATTTATATATAATTAGTAAGAATATTTGAATGTTTTTTTTTAAGTTTAAATTTATATCAAAGTATTATTTAAGTTTAATCAATAATTTTATAGAATAAATTTGTTTGCATTCACAAAAATAATAATGTAGCTTGCATCGAGCATGATGATAATGCATATGACAAGCAGCAATTATATATAATTCGAATTTCTCCTAATTTAATCTCTTTTGCAGATGACGAAGGAATAGCTGAATCAGGAATGTGATGATTTGATTGCTGGTTAGGAGCAATGATCAATAGCAACAAAAACGAATCTCGTTTTCCAAAGGTACTTGAATCACCAGAATTTTTCAAGTTTCCGTGGAAAAGAAAAACATAAAAGCAAAGAAATGACAATCTAAATCGAATGAAGGCGAAAGCAAACAGTGCAAGAATAATTATTTAGAAATTAGTTAGGTCGCGTGTGAGGAGATAATCAGTGAAAAAAAGAAAGAATTTTATATTAAGCAATGGTTGAGCACAAACAGGTTTTTATTTCTGTGTCAGTTACATATCGAAGTTAAGCGTGTTCAATACGTGATACGAGTAGAATAATTTCACGATTAAGATAATTATATCAGAGAAATATGAAAAGAATGTGCCGTAAAGGACTATCAGAGAGGGAGACAAAAAGACGATGTCAAACTGAATATGCTGCCAAGTGTGGGATTACGAATCAAATGCGTGCGCGATGTTATATACGCGTTGTGCTACGGTCGGAGAGATTATGTCATTATTAATATATAACTCATGTATACATATCTTATATAAATAGTAGGAAACTGATAAGGCGCGCAATGTTGGTAGATGTAGATCGTATATTATAACGAGTGCAAAGATGCATATTCCACTGGTTGTGTCACGATGAGGCCTCGAACCACATCGCATCCGCAATGAGTCTATTGAACGTCTTTGTTAAGTCGCAATATATAAGACAGTATTTTCGATCGATTGGATCGTGACATTGCGAAATGGTACCTTGGTTCATTCCGAGTGCAAATGTTCTTCTGAGATTACCACCAATAATACTTTGTTCATATTTCGCGTTCTATTCGAACGGACGCATAAAAGATTATCCTATAATACGTTATCTTATTATCTTTTGCAGAATTAACGTAGTATGGTTAGATAAAATTTAAAAGCGATCCGTTGCAAAAGCGAGATGCAAAACACTCAACAATCATGTTGGTTGAGTTATCGTTCGAAATGGCAAACCGTCCGTCCAACAGCCATGTAAGAGACGCGTGCTAGACGATGGTTTGATAAATAATAATGTTAATATTAAAACGAATTATCTAGGAGAAAGAATTGGAAAGACGAGCGAGTGTAGGTGTGCGGAGCTTTTAATCGATCCTTCTTTTTGAGATGAGCGAAACGATATCAGTGGGAACAAGAAACTCGCATTTTCGTAGAAGCCATATCATTTTTTGAAGAAGTCAGAGTACGTGTGTATATGTGTGTATGCGTGTAGATAGATGCGCGCGTGAATGTAAGTAATCAATCGATAATCAATTGAAGCTATGTATTATCACCTCTTATCATCGTGAATCGTGATCGCCGTTGAAAAGCAATTGAACTTCACAAATAGAGTGCATTCGTTTATGCAGCGTTTATTAGAGCAGAGGATATTACTTTATCCTTATTGTTCACCGAAGTATTAAACAAAGATAAAATGACACTCTCTGCACTAATCGCTGCGTAAACGAATGCATTAATATGTATAAATAATCGTCATATCGCGATAAGTTCTCGCTAGCTTCAAATATACAGGCCTTAATTTTGCAATTCGTAGTTGATCCTCAACGACAACCGTGGCGGGATATATAAAAGAATCGAATGATCATTTTTAGTATTCAATGTCGCTTTTGCGGCCATATACAAATATATGTACTTAATTTTGTATTCTCGTTAAAAGCGTGGTAAAACGTAATTGATTGCACAATGTAAGTGAACTTACAATTAGTTTAATAATCAGGGTTGCTGAATTTTCTCTGTCAGATTCTTTAAAAAAATGAAATTTACAGGAAAAGAAGGAGAAAAAATTTCGTGTTCGTCGATGTTGTATTTTTGGATAAGCATTTTTACACCGGTCACATTGTGAACCGTAAATCTATAAACGATTGCAAGGGCTGTTAAAAATTACATTTTACAGTAAGCGCTACTTAGAGTTTATATTAATCCGCTACTCACTTATGAGCGTCAATGACACATATCCATAGACTTCTTCTTTTTTTATGGAAATTTGCGCATATAATAATAAAAAAAATGTAATAGTCAATATATGTTAAGACAGCATACATATATTTTTAATGAAATTTTTTCGATAGTGTAACTTTTAATATTTTTAAATTAAAAAATTTTTTAATATTCAGCGGATTGATAAAAATTCTGTCTAATTCATCGAAATTATCTGTATGATAATCTTATATAACTGAACGTATGCAGGTATTGATAGTAATTGTGCTGTTGATATGCTACTACAGAGCGCTATTGATGTCAGTTTATTCGCGAAAGATGCGGAAGACATATTAGAGAAAGACATGAAGAGAGCGATATTAAATTTTAGCAATTCCGCTCATTTCAATTCTTGTCGCTTATACTATTGCTTACATCTAAAAAAATTTTGAAAAGAGAGAGAGAGAGAGAGAGAGAGAGAGAGAGAGAGAGAGAGAGAGAAAGAAAGTGCACGTATTAAAGTACTGTTCATGATATAAGAATACCAGGTGTTCCGTTACCATGGTTGCGCAATAGCAGCGTAAATCTAGATAAAAATTTAATTGACTATTCCAATATACCAGCGCTATTATACGCAGGAAAGTCAATTTAGGTAAAAATTTGATTGGTTGTTTCCAATATTGCTACCGCCATTATGCGCAACGGAATACCTGGTATCCTTACATCATGCTGCTGTTGAGACAATTCGACGGTCAATGATTCTACTTAATACTCAGATGAGAGTTTACTAGAAAGACAACTTTTTTTATTATATTTTTGTGCGATATGAATATTAATGATGTTTTATTCCGTGGAATATAAATTTATATATCAATATCTATGTTGCAGCTTCTCATTTTTATATATTTATTTTAAGATCTGATCTACTGATAGAAGATCGTATTTTACCTAACCATAACATAATGTTGAATATGTAAAGTATTGTGAACAATTTTGTACATTTCTTCAACGCTATGATATGGTGTATTTGCAATTCTTAGTTAAATAGATCATTATTTATAATTAGATTTTTATATTAAACTGAGCTCAAATATTTTCTATTTTGTTATCGTTATCAATTATATTCTTTTAAATTATAGACTACAATTTAAAGATTAATATAACTTTAAATTAGAAATTATAATTATCTATCTATAATTAATGAAAATTTTTTCGTCAAAATTATAATTAGTCTAGTCGATTATTTGCAATAACGTCACAAAAATCAAATATCAAAAATTATCTTTCGTTTTATTAACTCTAAAATTTTTCATGATAATGTACTCAAATATTAATTGTGTAGTACTATAAGAAAGAAGTTATGTATTTCTTTTTAAAAATAACGACAGATTGTTATAAATAATTATAAATAAGAAATAACATTTAGAGGCGCAGACAAATCTGCACGTGAATAATTTGCAAAGAATCCAGCAATTATGTGCAATCGCTATTCTTTCATAGTTAAGTAGGATTTATTAGATTAATCTAAAGAAGTTGAGGACAGGAATAATATTGAATTTTAATTCACCAGACCATTTACAAATAGTTTAGCGCTTGAATTGTTTTGCATTATTTTCTGTGATAAATCATGATCGTTGATCAAGAAAGAAGAACAAAAGAGCTGTCAGGTGCAAATGCGGTCTTCCCAAATGAATTAATAGTGAAGTCATTTTCATCGTCCATGTTAGTACGTGCCAATCATTGCTGTTGAAACAATTATTAACATCGAAACTTGCGGGGCGAAATATTAATATACCGTGTGCTGAAGCGTACGTCTGCAGGGCGCGACATTGTATATAATTTTATATTAAGATCGAATTTTTTTACGTCGAATTTGTCTACAAATTGTCGTTCTTAGAAGCGATTCTCTGTGAAAAACGACGGCAATGTTGTACGAAGAGAATTTATTTCGAACGTATCGATTGCAAGATACTTTTCGACCGAGATATTTAACAGCGTAATCATATGGTTGTGTCATCGTGACGACTCAATGCAAGACGATACGGAATCTGAAGAGAGAACTCGAAGCGAATAAAAATGACAGGAAATTACCGCTTCCGAAGTTTCGCCGCGATTTTTCACAAGGAATCGATACGTTTACACAAGCGCATACTCCGCGTAGGTCTATAATCTCTTTTGTAAATACATTTTATATCGACTGCGAGGATAGTTCGTTGTGCAAGGATGGCTTCACGAATAAAGACTCTCATACCTATCCCTCGCAACGACACGATTCGCAAACTCATATAGTTATTTCTGTCACGTAACATCGTAATACATATTAGTATGTATCTGAGAATTTGTACAACATGTGCGAAGCACGAAGGGACACAGGTTGTCCCGTAATATCACATTATACAAGCATATGAAAAAGGGACACGCTTGCATAATAAACGTGACTCTTCCCATAATATTTTTCTCTCTTGTTTTATTTTGTATTCCTCCCCACCACTAAATACATAATACTTCATAAGATGATAAAAATGTAAGAAAGTTACGTACAAAAATTTTTTTTACTAAATAAATATTTCTTTTTATCTTGAATAGTTGATTGTGTTCATTTAATATATAAATTCAATGTATCAAATAATTAAAAATAAATTTTATTACAATGAAATCAAGATTAATACAAATATCTTCCAAGAAACGATATCTAGTTGGATAGTAGACACTAATAATGTCTATATAATATTAGTAGTCTTTGAATTTAATGGCATTTCTGATGACAATTCTAATGAAGAATTAAGTTTGCGCTCGTGTTCATCAGGCTTAATGGTAGTTCCGCTCATGGGACGACCTACAATTAATACAATATATTATTCAATTCTTGTTTTAATATTTATGGAATTATAATTATATTTAAGGTATAAGTTGAGTTGTGTATGTATGTGTGTGTGTGTTTGTGTGTATGTATCTGTGTGTTTTAATTATATATATATATAATAGACAATTTACATAAAATCTATTTTTCATAATTTCGGAAAAAGATAATAATATTATAAACATTGCAGCTATGTTGTTGTTTCCAATAAAATAAGTAGATTTACTTAAAAGGAAAATATTTAGACTATAACTCTAAGAATCATTGATTAAAGTTAACGAGGTTTTAACAAGTCGCGTCTAACGAAAATTCGCTCGACAAGTTTCTTTAAATCTATACTTTCCTCTCAGTTGGTTGAACATTCTGGAGAGAATTCCACGTCCGGTGTCCTCCGTAGGTTTATCGATAATTTCATTGTTCTCATTATGAGGATTTCTACGTAACATACGACTCAGCGATATGGCTCGAGAATGAACAAAAAGCTTCCTGGGCAAACCGTCTTTGTCGACAAGTTTAAACATCCTTCCCAAAGAGTTTGTTTTTTCTTTTCTCGATGTTTTTTCGTTATAGTCATCTACGCTTGTCATATTCTAAAGAGATAAAGAAAAGTCAAAGGTGTCAAATATAAATCGTTAAAACTAAGACTGATTTGCTTCGACATTTGAACTTTAAAGCTTCGAAGATTCGAAGTTTTGATATTAAAATTTTCGAATATATTTTTTTTTTCGCATCAAATATATTTTTCAAAGTTTCGAAGTTAACATCAAACTTCACAGCTTCGAAGACAACTTTAACTTCAAAAGTTTACAGTTAAAGATTCAAATTCTTTTTTCAAATCTTCGTTGTCAAAAATAACAGCTTTAGTTAAAACTTTTACGTCAAGTTATTCAAATTACAAATAAGAATAACGTTACTTTAAAATCTAGTTTATATAACCAATTATCTTTAATGTAAATATAGTCTCGATTAATTAATGTTTTGCGATCGTAATCTACAGCGATTAATGTATTGACATGCATTTCACTAGTTCTAATTAAACAATCAATTACACATTCGTTGTACTAATGAGATCACCGATAAATTTAGAGATAAATCAGATTATTAAGAAAGTTTCAGTTTTTAGTATAAATATATACGTTTTAATTATAACAATAAATATATTAAATATTATAATTCAGAACCTATTAAATTTCTTAAAGGTTAGATTATTTAGTAAAAATTCGAGAAAAAAGTAATTATATTTTCAATCAAATTCATTTCTTCACAAATTTATTTTAGAAGAAGTTAATAAAAGAAACGCAAAGATTTTGCAAAATAATCGGATACGGATACAAAACGCATATTATAGACACACGAAACATATTAAAATATGTTTAAGATCAAAATGCGGTCAGTATGTATTTCAATTCATTTTCATTATCCTGACAATTTCAAGATTCAATCTTTCTTCATGTATACATCATGAGATATTACTAAAGCTCGAACATAATTGTCCCCAGATGCACCTTACATTTATTAAATACTCATCAAATTTACTAAATTATTAAATTTATTAAATTATCATGCTCTGAGGATCCAAATCACTTACAGTATCCAAACCTGAAAAAGACCTTCCTACAGTAGGTGTACGCGTTTTAAACATCTTTCCCATTCTATCCAACGTGGCGCTCTTCAATCTCCTAACATCTTGTCTAACGGCTTCCGTTCTCGATATCGTTCGAGATAACTCCGGTATTTCCTTTGTTCTTGATGGGCTAATCCGTCGAGCAGAATCTGTTATCGTTTCGGAAACTATATTTTACTTCAAAATGAAATGTCTTTTATATTATCACATCTAGTTATATTAATTCATGGTGGATCTTTTTATAAAAGATCGATAACATGTTACATTTTAATATTTATAATATGTTATTTATACTATTAGTTTTTAATCAAAATAATATACGCGAAAGCAATGCAATGACACAACCATTCGCATTTCGTGGTTTACCTTTCTAAATAAACCACTTCTGTATATCGTGATTGGCAAATCGATCGATATCTAGTCCGCCTATTACATGGCAATAAATACGACAGCAATAAATGCGAATGATTCTCGCGATTGAAACGCGATTCGTGAACGCAAGTTTATATGTAACACCAATTCAATTTCTTAGGAGAAAATATCAAACGAAAGTAATCTCATTCATCACATCGCGATGAACTGT